ATGTGTAATTATGGAAATAAACAGAAAGAAATATATATATATATATATATATATATATATATATATACAGTCGAAAAAGTCAAGACTTTAGAGGTGGGACAAGCCAAAACCATAATTTAGGGAGGAATGAAGACATTTCAGTTGTTTAAAACTAGCTATATATTATGCTAGCTTAATTTTATGTTACATAATGGTTTATGCAATGACTCTCACAACAAAAGCATGGGATTTGTGCCGCTAATGTTGTAAGTCATGGGATCCAAAGTGTAATGTATTCATGGAAAGTGCCACCTCTACTGTTCTTCATTTAATTTCTCTTTCTCTCTCTTTCTCTGTGGGCTTTGTGTTGGCTGCGAGACCTTGAGTTAATACAAACATTCGTCTTACCACCATGCAGCCGCAGCTGTACAAATGACCATGTTACCTTGTAAATAAATGACAACGTAAAATCCCATCCATATGGCTCCAGGTCAACCACTTAGCTAAAATGATTTACAACCCAAAACGTAGATAAACATTATGGAGTACAGGTGGTCCACACGTATGTGTGTGTGTGCTTCCTGATGGAGACCACCACTGCTCCCACAAATCACACTCTGGTTACAGAGGAGTTCTGACTCTGTCCCTTTCCTCTGCTCCAGTGCCAGAAAGTACAAACCCATTCTGGCTTTGGTTCTTCCAATTTTAGAAGACGCTTTTCCCTCTAAAACCCAAAGCATCCATATTTGTGTGGGCTGAGATTTGTATGAGAAAGCCTTTTTAGTTGTGTAGTCAGCTGAGCACATGTGACCCTTGAACTTAAGCAAAACCAAAGAATTAGCCAGTGCACACGTCTGATTTCTCTGTTTATTTTGTAGTTCTGTTTGTGCATGTGTCTATGACAACTTGTGCAAACACTGAGCTTTTGTATTAGTACAAGAAGATCGCAATCGAGGGTTTGATTTGATATGTTTCAGCTCTTGATTAGTTCTGGTTAAATGCATAACTGCTCTGTCATTTCCCCGAGGAAATTTCAGTCTCAATTAAAATTTGCACGCCTCCAGATGTTTCATTTGGCTTAGAAGGAACTTCCATCATGCATTACCTTTCCACCATTAGATATCAGATGAATTTATCACTAAAGACCTTGCATATTAAACCTCAAATGGGTCATATCATGAGGAATCAAAATTTCTGTGTTCTGAGATTCCAAGTTCCATTTTTACCAACTCCAAGACTGAAATTTAAAAAAACCTGAAATTTGTTCAAAACCACCTCTCAAATCTCATTGGTCATGGAATTACTGAGCAGATTTTGAAAGATTTGAGAGGTCACAAGATACGCAACAACAAATTAAATCTGGCATGACTCAAATTTTGTTAGACCCTACGAATTACATAAATAAACTTCTTTCCCCCCAGATGCAACAAAGTTTCATTCAAATGGCTGTACATTGGTTGGATCCAGTGTTCGTGGCACACGCTCCAAGGCGGAGCTTCAGGAGTTGATGGAGAGCTTGCAGCGCAGGAAGTCCGCTCTGGAGGCCAGCTTAAAGGCTACTGCAGACCGTGGTTACCTCACTTTGTCCCCTCCTCCCAGTCCCCAATCGGCATCCTCCTATCTACAGGACCGCCCACCCCTTTCTATACGAGTCCCTTCTCCTTATACACCCTCCAGCAGCTTGAGCATGCCACCATCACCTCATCACTCAGAGCGGCCCATAAGTCCAGTCCCAACCCAAACTCGCGCCCGACACCAATCGCAGGACAACCTGTTGCTTTGCCTCCCTTCGGAAGGGCGACATCCCAACACTGCCAACTCACTCCTTTCTATGTGGAACGGCTCTTCTTCATCCTACATGACCGATGCTTTTCCTTCATCTCGCCGAGGTCCAAGCGGGGCAGCCAGCATGCCCTCCAGTCCTCGCTTGGGGCGCAGGCTGCTAGCAAGAGATGGGGAGTCCACCGTTGACCCATCACTCCGCCAAAGGAAATACTCAACTGGCTCTCTGAATGGCCTGGGAGGACATAGTCGCTCTCTGCCCAGGTTGTATCGAGGAGACCCCCCAGTGCTTTCTTTGCCACCACGGCGTACCACCAAACCACGCCGCAGCCTTCCATCCTTGGAGAAGCCTCCAGATGTGACCGTGACAGCCAACATGACCAGCAGTTCTCGCCGGGCCAGCATCTGTTCCGTGGGCTCTGCCCCATGTTTGGATCTAGGCGTAGGAGAAAGGCGGCTGTCGTTTGGTAAAGGAGGCCTGGGGCCCGGCATGGGGCCAAGGAGGGGCAGTATCAGTTCTCTCAGTGGAAAAGAAGAACTCCGAGATTATCATCAGAGACAAAGAGATGAGAGACTACGAGAACAGGAAGTGGAAAGACTGGTAAGAGGACCTTCAGTCACCCAGAGAAATACTTACACTAATGAGTCTAAAGCAGTGTCAGTGAATCAAATTTTAGGCTTCATAATTCTTGGTTGGTACAAATATTTTGTCTATTCATTCCTCTTGTATTTAGTTTTAAAGGTGGGTGTAACAAAGTTCGGGAAGAAGGAGGCGGGAACCGATGAACGTTTAAACAAAACTTTAATAATAAAATAAACACAAAATAGCGTGACAGCCCCTCACAGACGACTGCCGCACACAAACAAAACCAAAACACAAAATAAAGTCCAGGCCTGGTCCTCTCTCGTCCTTCACTGTCGTCACTCCTCCTTTTATCCTTCCGGAGCTCCTCCGTGGGATTTGAGACCGGTGAGTGGTGCAGGTGTCGTGCATTATCATTAACTCCTCTGGCCTTGCTCTGTTCCCACGGCTCTTGGCCCCTCCCCACTCGTCACAGTGGGGTAAGTGATTTCTGGTAGCCAATGTTGACATTTCAAATCACGAAAACAAACACGCCCCTACCCCAAAAGGGTCTCACCCATATTTTGATAGCTCCGCCCCACACATACATACGCAACCCAGGCAACGCTTATTTCTGTGAAACAAAGCAAAACCAATGTTACACCTTGTCGTAACACCGGACGTGAGCGGCGAGACAAAATACTATCCACCTTTTTCTTCAACGCGGAAGTAAGCCTATGGGTGAGACTTCCGGTTCATTAGCCGCTATAAGGAAATAACGAGAAGAATATCAATGTGCAGTAAACGGTAAAACTGTTTGCACTACAAACCAGTGTGTTCATAATTAAGATAATACATTAAAATTATATGGTTAGACACACCAATTTTCAATATCAAGCAGCAAAAGGAGTGGTTCTGTACAGCTAAAAATAGCTGGACGTGGATGAGACCAGAAGCTAGACCCATAGAATTTACAAATGGCCGCACCCATTAGACTTCCGGTTCATTAGCCGCTATAAGGAAATAACGAGAAGAATATCAATGTGCAGTAAACGGTAAAACTGTTTGCACTACAAACCAGTGTGTTCATAATTAAGATAATACATTAAAATTATATGGTTAGACACACCAATTTTCAATATCAAGCAGCAAAAGGAGTGGTTCTGTACAGCTAAAAATAGCTGGACGTGGATGAGACCAGAAGCTAGACCCATAGAATTTACAAATGGCCGCACCCATTTTTACGGCAAGAAAAAGGTGGATAGAACTGATTATAATCAATGATGCTGTCTACACTGGATGCGATGTGGCGCAAGACGACAAATCCCCGAAAGAAAACTGCTGCTGCATTCTGCAATACATGACGTATTGACACAAATTTCAAATGATTTTCAACGGTCGCTTTGTAGCGTCCAGTGTAGACAGACTTTAGCTGTTGCGGTGCGGCGCAACAACTGTCGCGTCCGGTGTAGACACGGTGTTACTCACCTATCGAGAAGAAACAAAGCAAGCAATCGCAGACCTTCCTGCTTGAGTTCTCTCCAGCGCTGGAAAGCTGATCCGATATCTCTATCTTTCTGTCGTCGCTCGGCTCGGCTAATGTCCATCCTGTGCACTGAGCGCTCTCTCCTCTGCATCATGAATAGACACGCCCCTTACTTATGCCCCTGGCTACAAGTTTGTTTTGGTACTCGGCTCGACTCAGTTTTCTAAAGCGTTTTTGAAAAAATACATACCCCACCTTTAAAATCATGACAATGTTGAATAAGTCTTATCATGTAACATATCACATGATTAAAAAATATATATTTATACAATATACAAGTAACGTTACAAAAAATAAATAAATTATATATATATATATATATAATTTACAATTATTATATATAATAATTGTAACTGCATGTTTGCTGAGGGGTATGCAAGATCAGTGTTGGCGCCCCCCTGTATTATAGCCCCTAACACTAACTCCCGCAGAAAAGTTTCTGCAAATCAATGTCCAAAAGTCCATGAACTAGTTTGTATATAATTAATTTGCCACATTGCCTTATTCCCATTTTTGTAATTTTTTTTTATAAAATGGGAACACATTTTACATTTTTATAACATGTAAAATTCACTTTAAAGGGTTAGTTCACCCAAAAATGAAAATTAGCCCATATAGAATAGACACGCCCCTTACTTATGCCCCTGGCTACAAGTTTGTTTTGGTACTCGGCTCGACTCAGTTTTCTAAAGCGTTTTTGAAAAAATACATACCCCACCTTTAAAATCATGACAATGTTGAATAAGTCTTATCATGTAACATATCACATGATTAAAAAATATATATTTATACAATATACAAGTAACGTTACAAAAAATAAATAAATTATATATATATATATATATAATTTACAATTATTATATATAATAATTGTAACTGCATGTTTGCTGAGGGGTATGCAAGATCAGTGTTGGCGCCCCCCTGTATTATAGCCCCTAACACTAACTCCCGCAGAAAAGTTTCTGCAAATCAATGTCCAAAAGTCCATGAACTAGTTTGTGCATGTAAGGATACAAACTCATCAGGGGTGAAAAATGGGACAAAGCCCCCTCCCCTATTTTCAATACCATAGGGAAAAAAAGGTGAAAAGTAATATATGAAAAAAAATTGTATTAGGTCATTTTATTTATATATATATATATATATATTATATTTTTTATATATATATATATATATATATATATATATATATATATATTTAATTTGCCACATTGCCTTATTCCCATTTTTGTAATTTTTTTTTATAAAATGGGAACACATTTTACATTTTTATAACATGTAAAATTCACTTTAAAGGGTTAGTTCACCCAAAAATGAAAATTAGCCCATATATTATTCACCCTCAAGGCATCCTAGGTGTATATGACTTTCTTCTTTCAGACGACTCCAATCAGAGTTATATAAAATATTGTCTTTGATCTTCCAAGCTGTTTAATGGCAGTCAGCGGGTGTTGCAGTGCATCAGTCCAAAAGAAGTGAAATAAAGCATATCCATTCATAATAAAAAGTGTCTCACACGGCTCCGGGGGGTGAACAAAGGCCTCCTGTAGCGAATTGATGCGTTTTTGTAAGAAAAATATCCATATTCAAAACGTAATAATTACTTTAATCTAGCTTGCACCAACAGTTGTACACGGAAGCAGTTCCGGGCAGATGACGTAAGATGTCAGCGTTGCGCATGCGCCGCTCAGAAGTGACGAACGCGGAAGCGCAGTGGAGAGATTAATCCTGGAGAAGGATTAATTTGTATCCTTATTAACAATCTTCCCAGTTCCTCTCAAATGTAAATCAAACGCCCATTCACAAACATGTCGTGACTTTTTTTTAAAATTTATTTTGAGCAATAGAGATACTCAGAAATGAACTGATAAAGTTAATCACTTTGCCCTCTTAGACAACAACGTTAAAGTGCCCCTATTATGCCTTTTCGAATATTACCTTTCATGCAGTGTGTCATGTAGCTGTATGTGAACATAAACTATCTGCAAAGTTGTGAAGCTGACAGTGGATGATAAGTGCAGTTCATTGGATTGTTCACACTCCTTCATACGCTACAGACTTAACAAATTTTTATTCACAGCTAAACCAAAACCGTACATGTGTAGGAACCAGCTGGTAAACACACTTTAAATGAGCTTTTGCTCTAGGAGGTCACATGATAACCGAGCTAAAGCAGTGCATCTGTAGTCAAACCATCTGATCTGACCGCAGGGGTGTGTGCAGTGTATGTATGTGTGTTTGTTTGTGTGCAACTAAATTAGTTCAGTTCCACAGGGCCAAATCCAACAATGCACTGCTAAAGAGATACAAATCTAAACAATGTGTTTTATGTAAAATCTAATATTTCAAAGATTAACTCCAGACTATTGAGCCAGCCAGTTTTGTTTATAATATTATGTATTAGATTCAATGCTGTCCAAAAGTCTGGGAGTAGTAGAAAATGCTTCTATTTTGCATTATATCAGATAAACAGAATCTTGAATATACATTTAGCATCATAATGTTTTTTTTAAATCTGTCAATGATTATTGTCAATGATTAACATTTTTCATTCCACTCTAGGAACGTCAGCGTCTCGAGACTATCCTGTGCCTGTGCTCTGAGCTGGGTCGGTCTGAACTGGGCCGGATGAAGACTGACTCGGGTGTCTCAGCTGTATCGGACCTGCAGAAGATCAACCGAGAGCTGGAGAAGCTACAGGTGTCTGATGATGAATCTGTGTTCTCAGACTCTGCAGCAGTGTCTCTGGACAGCGGATTTTTGGGTAAGGGTCGTGGAGAGATCCTGACCCAGAGACAGCGCAGATTCAGCGGGCACAGGGAGACCAGGCCCCAGTCACCCACCACCAGCCTGCGGAGCTCAGTACCCTCACCCTCTCCACACCTCCGCAGCAAGGTGAGACACTGTGCCATATCTTCCTGAATGCTAAAAAGGACTTTTAATTTTCCAACATGTTGCATCTACCATGAAAGCCCATTCACACCAAGAACTATAACAATAAAGATAATAATAAAGATTCTGTTTATTTTAAGTTTTAAGTTTTTTTTTTTTTGTATATTATGCTCATTTCTAAATTCTTATTACTTTAACGTAAAATAAATCAATGATATATTATTGATTTATATATAAAGATATATTATTTGTATAAAGTATTTCACCTAATTTGTAGTGTATGTTGTACCAAATTGAATGTATGCTGAATTAATTAAAAATATAAATGATCTAATACAAAAAATCTAAAAAATTCAAAAAAGCAGGATTTGCCCTAATTCTCATTAATGTAAAAAAAAAATATATATATTTAAATTGCATTTATTTATCTTAGTATTTGTTGTACAGTTAGTTAATGCTCATTTTAAAATTTTTAAAAGATTTTTTATAGTAGCTTCTGATTAGTAATTTATTAAATATTAGTAATAAGATTCACTACTATTCTACTATTAATTTCAGCTACAAATTACAGTTATTTCTTGCCACAGTGATATTTGTTCTTACTATATATACCCTATATATATATATATATATATATATATATATATATATATATATATATATACAAAAAATCTAAAAAATTCAAAAAAGCAGGATTTGCCCTAATTCTCATTAATGTAAAAAAATATATATATATATTTAAATTGCATTTATTTATCTTAGTATTTGTTGTACAGTTAGTTAATGCTCATTTAAAAATTTTTAAAAGATTTTTTATAGTAGCTTCTGATTAGTAATTTATTAAATATTAGTAATAAGATTCACTACTATTCTACTATTAATTTCAGCTACAAATTACAGTTATTTCTTGCCACAGTGATATTTGTTCTTACTATATATACCCTATATATATATATATATATAAAAATTAAGATCTATATATACTATATACATCATGTATTCAAATCTAAAGCAATCTCCAGTTGTGCACTCGATATCCCAGATTGAACTAATGATGCAGTGGAAAGTATGCAGTCCTAAGGGATCTCAAGTATGCAAAACAGTTTGGGAATGCTGTGGAGTCTTCATACCTAACTGATGTCTGTTTCTAAACAGCACTACAAAGTGAACTTTGACCTTTTAAAAACACTGACCTCGCACTCTTTGCAGCGACACCGAAACAAGTTTTAAAACAGATTCTGTCTGCGTTTAAAGCACATAAGGTGTCAATTCCAGCTTACGAGGGGGTGGTGGACTCTGTGGAAGAAGTGTTTTTCCATTGGATACCTATAATGACATAATGGTGTGAGTTTGGTTTGAGTTTAATAGACTTGCTCAGGAGAGAAAGGCAGTTATTGCTTCTCCTGCAAGAGGAGAGGAACAGCAAATGACTCTATTCCCAGTGGATTTGCTATGCATGTGTGTGTTCGAGACACTTATGACTAATTGTTGGAAAGAAACACAGAAATGCAAGGAAAGAATGCAGATCTGCATATCGTTTCTCCTACACTTATCCTCTTCTCTCGAGCATGTGTCTCATGTGACACTCATTGTGCTATTGTTAATGACAGTTTGCATTTAAACATATGCACAGGCCCATCCGCTGCTGGATATTTTTGGTAAATGTCAAATTATCTCCATTGACAGTGGCGGCTCTGTAGTCTGGCATCTGTTGCTCAGCTACATTCCTCTGTGCTGTCAATGGAAACCTCGTGGCCTCAGAACCGGCCAAGTTTACTATCCATAAGGAGCTGTCATGAGCTGGATATTCATTTTAGAGTTCAATCTCATGTCAGGTCTCAATGACTACATTTGTGAATGTTTAATCCATCTTTTCTACATTACATTGTCATTGTATTTGTGATTATATGTTTGTGACTGTTAAATTAGTCAAGGAGAGGTGATGTGACTATATGATACTAATGAATGATGCAGGAGTTCAGCTAAATTTCTAAAATTGTCCTTATGGTTTGAACAAACGTTGAATTTCCCAGTCGTCATCCAGGACTGAAACCAATTTTTTTTGTTTCTGAATCTTTTTAGCAGGTGTCTGAAGACATGCAGCTGAGACAGGAAGTGACACGTATTGAAGAGGAGAGGATTCAGGTGTTTAACAACATCGAGGAACTTGAACAGAAGATCAGAGATCTAGACACACAGATGGACGAGTCTTTCAGAGAGGTGTGTGTGCTTTAAATGAGAAGCTTTATGTGTTTTAAAGTTTAGTAATCATTCCTGAAGCTCAAACAGTAGTGCGTGGCGCTAGCAACGCCAAGATCTTGGGCTCGATTCCCAGAAATCACAAGCCGTTTCGATTAAAAGCATCTGAGAAATGCATTAATGTAAATGTCTTCATGTCTGCCAGTTAATAACTCTTACAGATGGACTCTCTAGACTTGTATACTTTTATTCTGCAACATTATTTTAGTATTAATTATATACTAATGTAGAATGTTTTGAATTAGCTTTTAATATATTGTCAGTTTTTATTTTAATTTTAGTAATTTTGTGTGATGTTTTTTTTGTCATTTTTTTTCTATATAGCTATTTTTAAAATTTCAGTTTCAGTAATTTTAGTACTTCAATTTAAACTTTATTTCAATTACCAAAACAGATTTTTTTTAATGCTTTTAGTTTTAGTTGTGCAGTGAAGCTAAAGTCAATAAACATTTCAATCTGTCATTAGATGGAGGTGGAGAGAGCTCTTTTAGATGGGGAGCAGGAGGCAGAAGTGGCTCAGCTACAGAGCGATAAAGAAATGCTGGAGCAGCTCAACGAAAAAATGGCCAACATGGAGAAAAATGCTCAAAAAAATCAAACTCAGGTAAACATCAGGTGGCAATGTAGTTGTACAGCTTGAAATGATTCAATATAGTATATCAAAGCTGCAGGGCAAAGATTATTGTCTCCAAAAAGGCGAACAAGTGGGTCTCAAAATCATGAGAAATCATGATTTACGAGCAAAGTTTGCACTTAATAGTTCACCCTAAAATAAAAATTTGTGGAAAATTTTCAATTTAAGATATAGATGAGTTTGTTTCTTCATCAGAACAGATTTGGAGAAATGCAGCATTGCATAATTTGTTCAGCAATAGATTCTCTGTGGTGAATACGTGCCATCAGAATGAGAGTCCAAACAGCTGATAAAAACATCACGATAATCCACATGTCTCCAGCCCGTTTTATGAAGCAAAAAGCTGCAGAAAATCCACTGGTGAGCAGATGATATAATGCTAAATTTCTCCAAATCTATTATGATGAAAAACAAACATCTTGAATGGCCTGAGGTGAGTACATTTACATTTTTGAGTGAAATATTTCTTGCCAATTTAGACAGAGGAAAACTTGTACACTGTTATTAAAGATACCCTCTGACGTCACATCTACCTACCTTTTTTCCAGTTTATCTCTTCCTTGCTCTAACCCAAACTTGCACTTTCTCTATTTCTTTGTCCATCCTGTTTGTGCCCATCTCACCACTGTGCGCTCTGTATGTGTGCGTCATCCGTACGGTAGGACAAAGCCCTGTTGGAGGCAGAGGGAGTTAAAGTAGAGAGGCTAGCTGAGCTGATCTCAGAGCAGAAGACCCAGTTGGACACCTGTCCTGAAGCACTGAAGGAGCAGCTCCAGAATCAGCTATCCAGGGTCAGTCAGTTACTGTGGTCTCCCTCGTACCTGCGCCCACCAACTATCCTGCTGTCTGTCTCTCACAAACACTTCCTGATGTGTTATTTCCTCTCTGCAACAGCTCTGGAAATACCTTTTGTTCTTGTTGGTAGGCCTTTCTTCTCTGTCTTTTAACATAGCAAAGTGTCCTGAGAATTCGACCTTTTGTCTCTTTTCTGTTTAGCACAATCTTGTGAGTTATTGCTGATTTTTCAGTTTAGTTTAGTTTGGAGTTGCACCATGATGTAAAAAATGTAATCTATCGCCTCATGCTTAGTGTTCTTGGCTTTCTTTGGTAGGACACTGAAGCTTTGGAAGCGGAAACGAAGCGTTTTGAAGATCTGGAGTTTCAGCAGCTGGAAAAAGAGAGCCGTCAAGATGAAGAGAAGGAGACACAGACGCAGCAACTCCTCAGAGAGATTGCAGAATATCAGAGATCTGTTGTCACTCGCAAGGTGTGTAGAAGATTTTAATCCTGGAGTGTTTGTGTGTGGACGAAGAGCTTTTTAGAATCATATTTTTCCTTCTGAACATAAAAACTGCATCCATTAAAGGAGAGGCTACTTACCCTGAAGAAGCAGTCGACCCAGATTACCCAGCAGGCACAGCGGGAAAAGGAGAACTTTTTGAAGGAGAAGAGCAACCTCATTTATATGCTGCAAAGGGTGAGTATGTTTATATAAGTATAATATATACATACAGTGCCTGTGAGAAGTATTTGAACTCTTCATCCACATTTAAAATGTATCCGTGATCAACTTTTTTTCAATTTTATTAATATACACATCAGTGTTACACATGCATGTAACAATAGCATACATATTTTTGCACATAAAATAAAATAACAGCACTGAACACAAACTATATACAACTGGCAAAGCCTATATTAATATTAATAAATGTATTAATTAATTTCATTGCGTATCAAACCAAGAAGTTGCAAACAAACAATAAGAAATTATATTTCTCTGACTTTTCTATTTATTATTATTATTTATTTATTCATTAGTTTTTTTAAAAGATATTTTTGCCACGTCTATGAACTCGACTATGATTTTCAGTAGATGTAAATCACTTTCCCTTAAGATATCATTATGGACACGTTCCACTTAACTAAAAATGGCCAAATTATTTTTTGAGATGTACATGTACAGTTTTATCATTTGGATACACTTCTATGAAATGTTTTGCTTGAACACTGTGCTAGTACTACCTTTCTTTAGAGTAAACGCTGTAATATTCATACATAATGTGTACAGATATATTTGTTCATTTCTGAATGGTCTCCTAATAATTTCTTTTCAGGAACGAGAGAACCTCGCATCTCTGGAAAGGAAGTACTCTGAGCTGACAGGTGGTCAAGCCTTTCCTCTCAACCCTATGTCCATGAAGGAGGTAACACAAACAATTTCTATGAGTAAAGAATCTAAGCTCAGTAATGACAAACAAGGATTTTCAATATTGAAAGACTATTATTTTACCTGTCTTTTTGAATATTCCAGCACTTTCGCTCTCTGGAGGATAGGAGGCGGAGCAATGGCAGTAAAGAGGGCGGAGTTCTGCTGAGTGACGGCGGAATGTCCCGTAAAAGAGAGAGGCAGAGCTCCGGAACCTTAAACTCTGCCCTTAATCGCAGTCTGTCTCCCAAGGTCAGACAACAGATACGGCACATAGGAAAAGTATTTGATACCATCTTAAAAAAAAATCTTGAAAATTTCAGCACACATTGTTTTGTTATGTGGAAGAGGGGTTTAAACAGTCTCTTTTGCTGTATATTCTAAATCCTGTAGCCCCATATGCTGCTGTCTCAAAGCTCTAGCTGTGGTAGTGTTCTCCCCCACACTCTGTCTGTCACCTCCCGTGACCTGGACACCCGCCGCCTGCTCAAGGGTAACACACTGACAGTTATCCTGTGACACTGACAGTTCTGCAGGTCTACAATTCTACAAGTTTTATGCAGAGAAATAATATTTCTGAAATCTATTAAGTATATTTATTTGTATTAGTTAAACATATGAAAATAAATAATATATATTATATAAATATATATATTTTTTTGTTACTTTATTCAGTACACTTTTTAGTCTGCCTGGAGTTTTGTGTTATTATAATTAAGATCTTTAACATTTTTGGAATAAGATGTCTCTTTTTATCCCCAAGGCTGCATATATTTGATCAAAAATGCAATGAAAGCAGTAATATTGTAAAATATTACAATTGAAAATAACTGTTTTCTGTTTGAATGTAATTTATTCCTGTGAGGCCAAAGCTGATTATTTAGCAGCCATTTCTGCATTATTCACTGTCACACAATCATTCAGAAATTATTCTGAACGTATAGAGTTCTAGAAAAATACATTTATTTTTTTTTTTACTATTTCCCCCCCCCCCCTTTGTTCTTACAGCAGGTCAGCTGTTTTTGAATGACGAGAGGCAGAGAGTGAGTGAGATGTCAAATAGGACAGTTTCTGAGACAAACGTCTTCCTGGAGCCGTTCCACTACATGGATAACGGAGACAACTTTGACACAATGAGTGTGGACAGTACAGAAAGCCTAGAGACCAGCATTTCCGCCTGTTCACCGGACAACATCTCAAGGTGAGACCAGGAATTTGTTCAAGATCGGGACAGGTGTATTCTAACAATTCAAAGTTTTTATTTTGCTTGTAGTAAGCATTTAGCTTGTCCATTTTACAGATATTTACTAGAAACCTAAGATATGCTTTTTTGAAGAATAAGAAAATCATTTAAAGCATAGTAAACAGTAACGCCCACTTTAAATGCAACTTTATAAACACAATATTTTTGCCATTAAAATTGTGTGTAGTTAGTAAGAAGTGTGTGTATCTCTATTGTGTGCTTAAATGTATTTATTACTGTTTATAAGGATGCTGTATAGACAGAAGTCTGCCTTTAAGTAGCCCAGATATACACACATCCTGTCTGAGGAATTTTTATTGCATTCCAAGGACGCTCCAAGTAGCTGAAGCTTAAGATGCTCTGGGATACATTACCAAATGAGGTTGAGGGTTTTAAACCTCTGGTTTTATTGGACAATACATTATTTTTATATGAAATTTACTACTAAAATCTTATTAAGACCTGAAAATCATCAACGTAAAACATGCTGTCTAATAAAAGTGTGCATATGTGGTCTGTACAGCGCCAGCACAGCTAACATGGCGAAGATCGAGGAGATGGAGCGCATGCTAAGAGAAGCTCAAGCTGAGAAGAACAGGCTGCTGGAGCACAGGGTACATCAGTTTCTCTCAATCTGCATGCTTCTTACAGAGATACCAAAATACAGATGCATGAAAACAGAACTTTTCTTTCTTCTCTGCAGGAGCGGGAGATGGAGTTGCGCAGGCAGGCTCTTGAAGACGAGAGGAGAAGGAGGGAGGAATTGGAGAGGAGACTGCAGGAAGAGACAAACCGACGACAGAAACTAGTGGAGAGAGAGGTGAAGCTCTGAGAGTCTTGGAGAGTTCAAGTGAAAGAGGGAGAACAGAGAGAGACAGAGACAAGAAAAGTGGAGCAGAGGAAGATTCATCTTAAAGCATTTCATGCAATTCAAACTCTTATTTATGGATGCACAGATTTAGACAAAAAACTATTTTAACACAGCCACAATTAATAAAAAATAATAAATGCAAATAAATATTCTAATTAGTGCTGTCAAACGATTAATCGCGATTAATCGCATCCAAAATAAAAGTTTTTATTTACATAATATATCTGTGTGTACTGTGTATATTTATTATGTATATATAAATACACACACATACAGTATATATTTTGAAAATATTTACATGTATATATTTATATTAATATAATTAATATTATATATAAATACATTTAATATATAAACGTAACATTTTTCTTAAATATATACATGCATGGGTGTATTTATATATACATAATATACAGTGGGTACGGAAAGTATTCAGACCCCCTTAAATTTTTCACTCTTTGTTGTTTAAGCACTAATTCTAATATAACCATTTTAAATTTTAATATTTGTACTTCTAAACTTAAAAACTTTTTTTTTTTACCACATTTTTATATATTTTAATTATATGTGATGCATCATAAAAGCAAAAGTATGTTTTTTTGTATATCTTTTTTCTTTGACTTTTCTTGATGGAAATTTTTCTTTTTGATTTTCTTTAAAGCAACTAAATCTGTTTGTTTTTTATGACATGAGACACAGCCAGGATCCAAAATGAACTTTTTGTCATGTCATCACTGTCAGATGACGTTTAGAATTTTATATGATCCATTTTTTTTTTACAGACGAGGCCTGTATTTTGCATCATAACTGTTAAGATATTTTTTTGTCATCGATATTTATAGATTATATTTTTAGCAGAAAAAGTGGAAGATCCTATAAAATGCAATAAATCAAATGTTATTTAATAGTAGTATATAATTGTTTTATTTAAAGAGCGCTTTAAAGAAGGTACCCAATAACACTTATTGAGATAAAATAAACAAAAGCAGCATAACAAAATCTAAAAGAGCACAAAAGCAAAATTAACAAAAAACAGTAACACAACATTAAAACCTTATGGGCGATAGTTGTAATTTGATGAGTAAACAGTCTATAAATATGTGTGGCTGATAAATCAGTGCATTTCTTCTCTCACTCTTTACAAACGTGCATGCGTGTATTTACACAGACACACTCACTAATTTGATTTTTGCTGTTTGTGTGTCTAGTCTCGTCCGCTGACACGATACCTCCCAGTGAGAAAGGATGACTTTGACCTGAGAGGTCACATCGAGGTGGCGGGTCACCATCCTGAAACTTGTTTTCACCTAGCCATCACAGAGAAGACCTGCAGGGGGTTCTTGGTCAAAATGGGTGGGAAAATCAAAACCTGGAAGAAGCGCTGGTTCGTCTTTGACCGCAATCGAAGGACGCTGGCATATTATGCTGGTAATTACACTGAATATTTAGTAAAACCTATCGAGCTTTATCAACCATGTCTGTGGCCTGCTGTGAATTACCACGGAATATCAAATGTGGTTGTCTCTCATTTGATATTAACAGTTTGAAAATGTGCTTACAGTAATGCGTTTCTAATAGAGACTTACCGGGACAAATGTTTTGGAGATTTGAGAAAAAAATCTGAAATTTGAAGCATATATTTTGGGTAGTGTACTTGCATTAATTCTTCTGGGAAAAAGAGATATGATTGTGCAGTGAAACATTTGCGATATAAAACATTTTACAAACTGGTAAATATCAGCCTTTTGGTAACTATTTATTTTACAGTGATAATTATCAGCAGGCCAGATATATTGAACCCAGGGTCTATCTTTAATTTTTTTGTTACATTTATTTATTGTAATACCTCTGAATGAGATTTGGACAGTGAAATGTAAACTTGAATTATTAACTAAAGAAGACTTGTTAATAAGCGATTCCAAAGAAATTTGCCATGAAACTAGTTTATACCACAAGGGGGCAAAACTGAGCTGTGCCCTTCACAAACGTCACAGGAGACAATGGCTATGTCCTATCCTGCGAATCAAACCAGATTTATCATACAAAGATTTGATCTTATCTGTTACAGAAAAAAAAATCTTGACTGGTTTTATTTTTCTCCAGATAAACATGAGACCAAAATCAAGGGTGTTATCTACTTCCAAGCCATTGAGGAAGTGTATTACGACCACCTAAAGAACGCACACAAGGTGGGCTGCAGTACTATACTGCACATACTATACATAGCTATACTGATTTTATGAAACGGGTGCAAAATGTTACAGTTGTTTGTCAGTATTTTCCTTCCATGAATCTTGTTTATCCACACTTTTATTCCGTCAGAGCCCAAACCCCTCTCTGACGTTTAGCGTGAAGACACATGACCGGGTTTATTACATGGTGGCTCCTTCCCCAGAGGCCATGAGAATCTGGATGGACGTTATCGTCACTGGAGCGGAGGGATATACGCACTTCCTGGTGTGAGCCGGACTCATCTTTGACATTTAACAAGCCCAAAGTGACCTTCACACTTCAACTCGGCCTGCTGAAAGGGTCCTCATTTTCCACATCCCCCTTTCTGAAGAGGTTACACGTCTTTGATTCTCTTTTATCAGTACTGATCGTGACGTGAGTGTCAACTGAACGTTTTGCAGACATCCATGACCTAGTTTGGAAAACCTGGTGCTTTACCCACTGCATCCTGTCCTGAGTTTACAGAGGCAGCTTTCAGACTTCAGAGGTACCAACTCTTGAATTTTTCGTCCCGTTTTGTTCACTTCCGGGGTGAGACTTAGAACAGCTGTAAATAAGAAATCACTCACTGGTCTTCACATTTCACAAATGTGCCACCTTATAATGACGCTGGATATACCTCAAAGATTAACTGCCGTGCTTGTTAAAGCCAAAAACAAACTGTTCCTGGAGTGCCATACAGACTCTAACAAACATCAGGGTATCGTTCAGTACTCTTTTTATATCCAGTACAGTACTGAACATGAATTTATAAACTTTTTTTTTTAATTGACCCTTGTATCTCTGTATACTTTGTATTATTCCCTCATTTACCAAGTGCCTTGCATATGTCAATATCTGATGAGAATAGCTATATATTTAGCTATAAGACTGTGGTTATTATAAGTGTTATTTTGTATCGACCAATTGTGCCTCCCTGATGCTCAGGAACATTCCAGAAGGAAGAATCTAGCACCAAAGACGAGCTGAATTTGTGTTTCAGCATGATATGAATGTAATAACTGACACCCATCGCTTAAGATGCCATCTTTAATAGATTAAGCTCTTGATCATTTAGCACACATTTTAGATTAGAATCATTGATTTCTTGATTGTGTGTTGTACTGCAGTTGACCAGCAGAGGGTTTTACTTTCAATGATATCGAAATGATTACAGAATTTATTCACTGCAAGAATTTCATTTGACCCTTAAGTTGAAATATGAGATGTTAAAAGTTTTGTTTTGTTATTGCTGAACAAATCTATATTATATATACCATTCATATAGTAATCTATATTATATCAGACTCGGGGTGTAACAGCATGTCTGAACTTATAGTGTATCTACTGTTATTTTTGTTATGTAGGAATCAGTATATTTTCATTTAGAGTAATAATACAGAAATAATATGAATATTGATGTCAAGAAGAAATGCCATGGTTGTCGTATTAGGAAAGAAATGAACACACAGGTGCTATCTGACAGCAAAACCTCTAGTTCAGTGGTTCTCAAGTGCTTTTACTTCAGGAACCAGATTTTCAGAAATGTAGCCTTTGACGGCAATAACTAATGATATGGGGTGTTTTCCCTCCTTTTTAAAAGTTCATATTCCTATTTGTTTTACCATCCAAATGATGTGCAGTTTTAAAAGTAATTGAATTTTATTTGCATTGCTTTTTCCATGCCGTCATACCAGTTAAGAACCACTGACCAAATTGCCTTGCGTCATTTGTGCAGTCATGTCTTTCATTCAGCCTCATTTGAATATTTTCTGGCAAATACTTCCACATTTTCACCAACAATTTAGGCTGTGAAATGAATTACTTTTAGTTTGCCAGCCAGTAGATCAATGCTCAGTGTTGGGAAGGTTACTTTGGAAATGTAATGGCTTACAGAATACAAGTTACCCTATTTAAAATGTAATAAGTAGTGTAACTGTTTTAATTACTTTATTAAAGGAATGTAACTGATTACATTTACTTTTTGATTACTTTTAACTGTTAATCAGTAGTACTCAACACTGATTACTGTCAAGACTTTCAAAATCCTTCATTCTTGAATTAAGATTATAATAATTAAATTTTAAAGCACAGCCACCACAGAATCAGACTTTAGCACATCTTTGTACTTTGAGATCATTCTGAGATTAAATACAGATTTACAATTTTAACAAGAAATAGTAAATATTAATAAAAGAAGTATTCAGATGTAACCCCCTTTGTAATCTTTAAAGGGATAGTTCACCCAAAAATGAAAATTCTGTCATTAATTACTCACCTTCATGTCGTTCCAAACCCGTAAGACCTTTGTTCATCTTCGGAACACAAATTAAGATATTTTTGATGCATTCTGACAGCTCTCTGACCCTCCCATAGACAGCGAGGGTCCTTACACGATCAAGGTCCAGAAATGTAGCAAGGAGATCGGGAAAATAATCCATGTGACATCAGGGGTTCAACCATAATTTTACGAAGCTACGAAAATACGTTTTATTCAACAATTCGTCTCCTCCGCGTCACCCTAGCACCATCCGTGTGGCGCAGCTGACACAGAATAGCATACGCTGTTTACGTTCAGTGGATACTCTCCAAAATGGCGATAGGGTGACGCGGAGGAGACAAATTGTTGAATTTTTTTTTTCTTTTGCGCACAAAAAGTATTTTTGTGGCTTCGTAAAATTACGGTTGAACCCCTGTTGTCACATGGATTAATTTACCGATCTCATTGCTACGTTTCTGGACGTTGATCGTGTCAGGACCCTTGCTGGGTGAACTAGCCCTTTAACATTTTCATAAGTAACTGTAATTTAATTACACATTACATGCAACTAGTTACTCCCCAACACTGTCAATGCTGATGTGCACTTTGAGAAAAAACTGCTTTCTTAGAGGTGCTTTTTCAGCTTTCATTCAGTAAACAATACAGTACATTACAGGATAAGCACAGCAATGCTTTATATAGATCACAATATACATAAGTACTTATTTAAAATGTATCTTTTATATTCAGCGTTTAATTTTTTTTTAACCAATCAGTGTTTTTTTTTATATAAAAGCAATATTTTTACTGTACGCATGTTTTTAGCTCATAAAATGTGAACCGTAATAAAACATATGAACGAGTAAAATAAGTTTTTTCATTTGTCTGTATTGCAAAAATTATGATGATATTGCTGGCTTTAAGCTGAATGTTTGTTTATATTTATTGTTAATTGTAATGAATAACTGCAGAACATGGCTGAGACATACAGGCCCTGAAACATGAACATAATTTCCAACTCGCCTCACACCCTCTCACCTCCCATTCACCCAGAAACATGTAATCAAGCGTGATTCAATTAATTAATTTCAGCCGGCACGTTCAATACAGCCCATCTGTCGCATATACTACCGATTTTCATACACATGCTACGTACTATAGTTAATTTGGAACATTTTGGACAGATAAATTGTGTAATGTGAGAGTCCATTTTAGAAATCCTTGCCTCCTCACCACACCCCTCCTCTTATTGGGCCCCCCATTGGCTGACCTAGTGAGGTTGCCATAGCGACATTTTTTTTTTCAGTGGCGCATGGATAGTTAGCCAAACATCTCCTAACGGAGAACATCTTTTCACCGGGGGTGTTTATATACACCGATAGGGAATAAGACTCAAGCATTCTGTTGTCACGACCTGTTTTAAAGTATCAGGAGAGTTTATGACAATTCATCCTGCTCATAATACCGCATTTGTTCTGTAGAAGTAACATAAGCCGAAGGGTATTTAATATCAGGAAACATAGTTTAAATAAGCCTTTGCTTTCAGACAATTTTTCCAAGTTTCGTGTTTCAAAACACTAAGAGATTATAGTATTAATCTCGTGTTTGGATGCACAAACTAAAACAATATGCAGATAATATTAAATCGCTTTTTAATCCTATTCGTTGTGACATCACCCGCTGCATTAAACAATTGTAATAATTAAATTTTAAAGCACAGCCACCACAGAATCAGACTTTAGCACATCTTTGTACTTTGAGATCATTCTGAGATTAAATACAGATTTACAATTTTAACAAGAAATAGTAAATATTAATAAAAGAAGTATTCAGATGTAACCCCCTTTGTAATCTTTAAAGGGATAGTTCACCCAAAAATGAAAATTCTGTCATTAATTACTCACCTTCATGTCGTTCCAAACCCGTAAGACCTTTGTTCATCTTCGGAACACAAATTAAGATATTTTTGATGCAATATGCAGATAATATTAAATCGCTTTTTAATCCTATTCGTTGTGACATCACCCGCTGCATTAAACAATTGTGTTTGTCTGCGCGTATAATTGTGAATATGGCTAGCAAGTCCACTGTCATTCTGTGCCATCTGCTTGAGGGGAGGATCACCTCTGGCACAGTCTTGCTTGGCTGCATTATATTCCATTCGATTTAGACAATGCTTTGTAACTAAGGCTCAAAATAGGACCCTCATGCAGTATTTATATTTCACACATCTCCCTGCGCTGTTCAATCGTATTCATTTTTTGCCGCCCTAGATCCAGATGCAGACTGCGTTTAACATTTTTTGCTTCAATGATTCACTTCAAATTTTGTAATTGAGGCTATGCGATCCTCATTATTTGTAGTGTTTGGTGCCGCACATGCAACAGAGGAGTTAGTGCATAAGGCTTTCATCTTCTTCAGACCCCAAGGGGGTGGCAGATCCATAAGCAAGGGATGGTTTCCATTAACAGTGGGCTGCTCTTTGACTAATCACCCTGTGAAGTGGTGAAGTCCTCGTGTTTTTCCAGTTAAACAGTCCCACTGCCCTGTCCTTCATATCTTCATGTATTGTACACTCTCCACTAGTTATTATATGTTTTATTCAACAATTCGTCTCCTCCGCGTCACCCTAGCACCATCCGTGTGGCGCAGCTGACACAGAATAGCATACGCTGTTTACGTTCAGTGGATACTCTCCAAAATGGCGATAGGGTGACGCGGAGGAGACAAATTGTTGAATTTTTTTTTTCTTTTGCGCACAAAAAGTATTTTTGTAGCTTCGTAAAATTACGGTTGAACCCCTGTTGTCACATGGATTAATTTACCGATCTCATTGCTACGTTTCTGGACGTTGATCGTGTCAGGACCCTTGCTGGGTGAACTAGCCCTTTAACATTTTCATAAGTAACTGTAATTTAATTACACATTACATGCAACTAGTTACTCCCCAACACTGTCAATGCTGATGTGCACTTTGAGAAAAAACTGCTTTCTTAGAGGTGCTTTTTCAGCTTTCATTCAGTAAACAATACAGTACATTACAGGATAAGCACAGCAATGCTTTATATAGATCACAATATACATAAGTACTTATTTAAAATGTATCTTTTATATTCAGCGTTTAATTTTTTTTTAACCAATCAGTGTTTTTTTTTATATAAAAGCAATATTTTTACTGTACGCATGTTTTTAGCTCATAAAATGTGAACCGTAATAAAACATATGAACGAGTAAAATAAGTTTTTTCATTTGTCTGTATTGCAAAAATTATGATGATATTGCTGGCTTTAAGCTGAATGTTTGTTTATATTTATTGTTAATTGTAATGAATAACTGCAGAACATGGCTGAGACATACAGGCCCTGAAACATGAACATAATTTCCAACTCGCCTCACACCCTCTCACCTCCCATTCACCCAGAAACATGTAATCAAGCGTGATTCAATTAATTAATTTCAGCCGGCATGTTCAATACAGCCCATCTGTCGCATATACTACCGATTTTCATACACATGCTACGTACTATAGTTAATTTGGAACATTTTGGACAGATAAATTGTGTAACGTGTGTAATGTGAGAGTCCATTTTAGAAATCCTTGCCTCCTCACCACACCCCTCCTCTTATTGGGCCCCCCATTGGCTGACCTAGTGAGGTTGCCATAGCGACATTTTTTTTTTCAGTGGCGCATGGATAATTAGCCAAACATCTCCTAACGGAGAACATCTTTTCACCGGGGGTGTTTATATACACCGATAGGGAATAAGACTCAAGCATTCTGTTGTCACGACCTGTTTTAAAGTATCAGGAGAGTTTATGACAATTCATCCTGCTCATAATACCGCATTTGTTCTGTAGAAGTAACATAAGCCGAAGGGTATTTAATATCAGGAAACATAGTTTAAATAAGCCTTTGCTTTCAGACAATTTTTCCAAGTTTCGTGTTTCAAAACACTAAGAGATTATAGTATTAATCTCGTGTTTGGATGCACAAACTAAAAGAATATGCAGATAATATTAAATCGCTTTTTAATCCTATTCGTTGTGACATCACCCGCTGCATTAAACAATTGTGTTTGTCTGCGCGTATAATTGTGAATATGGCTAGCAAGTCCACTGTCATTTTGTGCCATCTGCTTGAGGGGAGGATCACCTCTGGTACAGTCTTGCTTGGCTGCATTATATTCCATTCGATTTAGACAATGCTTTGTAACTAAGGCTCAAAATAGGACCCTCATGCAGTATTTATATTTCACACATCTCCCTGCGCTGTTCAATCGTATTAATTTTTTGCCGCCCTAGATCCAGATGCAGACTGCGTTTAACATTTTTTGCTTCAATGATTCACTTCAAATTTTGTAATTGAGGCTATGCGATCCTCATTATTTGTAGTGTTTGGTGCCGCACATGCAACAGAGGAGTTAGTGCATAAGGCTTTCATCTTCTTCAGACCCCAAGGGGGTGGCAGATCCATAAGCAAGGGATGGTTTCCATTAACAGTGGGCTGCTCTTTGACTAATCACCCTGTGAAGTGGTGAAGTCCTCGTGTTTTTCCAGTTAAACAGTCCCACTGCCCTGTCCTTCATATCTTCATGTATTGTACACTCTCCACTAGTTATTATATCATTTCTGTTCTCTCTGGCAATCTTACGTCTGCTACAATATCTCCACATGCTGTCAGTGAATCAAAGCTTAAAATTGATGAAATATCTCCGAGCAGTGTGCTCAAGCGTTCATTTGCTGGAGGTTTGCTTGCCCCACTCACCTTTGCAGAAACTTCAGATGACGTAGGGCCCTCCTGCGGTGTAGACTTTTCCTCTATCCCCTCCACAGAGCGAGGTGGAGGCCCGGGTGTCAGCGTGAGACTCTCCTTTATGATCTCAACACTGTTGGAGCGGGAAGCTAGAAGGGGAGGGCCAGGTTCAGCCTCCTCGTCATCCTCTTTCTCCTTACCACGCCAGCGCACTGTACCAAACAATCCCTTCAGGCCCTTCCGTTGCCTCCCGGGCCTCTGAGACTCGGTCTGAGCTTGCCGTTCTCCCGTCAGTCCCCGTCTGCCTTTGCGAAGCATATTTAGGAAGCTCAGAGACTTAACAGAGGTGAGGGAAGAGATGGACTGCCTCGTAGGAGTAGTTTCTGAATTCATGTTCCCACCTGTGAACTCCTCCATTGGAGCATCATCCTGTTGGCTCTCATCCTCCTGGTCAAGATCCACCTGCTCTGCCTCTGCTTCTGGGGCAGTAGGCTCATTTACTCCATCCAGGGTTTTGCTCCTTGATGGCGGTGATTTAGGGCCATCTCCTTTCCCACGTATGGAGAAGATGCTAGCGACGCTGCTCCCAGGTTTCCGCTTGCTGAACAGTTTGAAGGCTTTTCTGATTTTACCTGGAGGCTGAGGGTCACATGGCGGTGGTTCACAGCTCTCAGACTGTGCATCCATATTCCAGCTCCACTGCAGTGTGTCTTTACCTTCGACTCGACGTCTCGGTCTACGCTCACACGCTCTCTCTTTGTAACCTCAAGCTCAGATGAATGAAATACAACTCTAATGAGAATAAATAAATATATGACCTTTTCTCTTTTATATCTCTGTAGACTGTTTTTGCTAGCAACGTGCATCTATCTTTGTCTCCACTCTCTTTCCCTCCCTCTGTCTATTGCTCTTTTTTTAAGCGCTCCCTCTTTCTCTCTCTGCTGTTCCTCCCTCCCTAGCCTCCACCCTCCCTCTCCCTCTCTCTGCTCCTCTCCTCTGGCTGCTCCAGCTGGTCACCATGGCAACTGAGGGTCTAAGCAGCTTTCGTCAGCAATGGAGCGGAGCCAGGGGCTGTCATCATCCTACCCTCTTTCCTTCTTTCTCTCTCTCCCCGTCCACTCCCTGTTTTCATCCAACCAAGTGTTCCCATCTCTCACATCCCAGTTACTCATCCAGATTTATCCTTCCTATTCGTGACCGAGTTCTCTTCATATCAGCATCACTGCTGCATATGGAACAAAGGACAACACGGGCAGCAACTGGCTTGGTTTACGGCATCCCTGCTGGGATATATTTACAAACAAGCAACTCAAAATATAAATCTGATTGCAATGTTACCACTCCAAGCCTGTGTATTGAATTTATGTACATCAGAGGGAGGATATATTGAAGGGGTGTTGAAATTTTGTAATTAATATAGCTATGATTGGTATGATTTATCAAGTCTTAAACATTCTCCACATAATTTCCTTCACTTTCCCCATCTCTTATCATCTCACATGCACTGTCTTTCTCTAACAATCTTCCTTCTCTCCTTCTGCCCCTCCCACTCAACCACCCACAATCTCTCTCCCCCCCCCACACACACACGTAATTCCTGTAGGACATAAGTACATGCACTACATTATGTCCTTTTGCTTAGCTGTGTCACACCTATTTCTCTAGGGTCTTATTGACACAAGGATTCCAGTCATTAGAACTCATTTTTATCAGCATTCCTCTCGTCATGAATCTGACCCATCTTTCCCTTTCAGTATCCCCATCTCTGCATCTTTCTGCCTCTTGCTGTCTTTCATGATCTGCCAATTTTTCTAAGTAGTTCTCTCTCCCCATGTCTCTTTTTTCCATTTATGTATGAGATTACATATCACACCCATCTCGCTTTTTTGCACATCCATTTTGTTGATGTATATTTTTTCAGCAAAGTGGATTTTATTTGCACATTACAAATAAATCAATAGAGTATGATAGGTTGCGTAATTCTAGGCAAAATAAGTGTTAAACTTAAATTGGAATTTATAACCATGTTTGTTTTTTTAGAAAGCCCATGTTTCAGAAAATCAGAAATACATTACACATTTAGCAGACATTTAGTAATTTAACAGACGCATTTATCCTTACAAATGATGACAATGGAATATGAAAATGGAGAAAACAGAAACTTCTAAAGATTTTAAATTTTATGCATTTTTAGTGATGTGGCACCAATTGAGCCAGGACTGTCACTGGTTTCCCCTCAAAAGTAGTTAGGTGCATGACACTTGGTCTGCTTCTGTCTATGTACATCTCCTTTTCTGTCCTTGTCTGCTCAGTATTCTCTCTTTTAAAACAGGCCGCTTTCCTCCTTCCTTCACCCCAACGCAACGAAACAATGAATTCATTCATCCTTAAGTGGTGCTTTCATTGGGGCTCACTAAACAGGGGCGACTCGCCAGACAGAACAACACATTTCTCTGTGCTGAGACACAAACACACAAATAGTTATGAAAAATAGAGTGATAGGCTAGAACAAATGCTGGAAGAGATAAACCACCCACGAATGTGCCACCTAATTGAATAATCTTCTTAAAACATTTGTCAATTCGGTTCAAGTTTATTTTTCTACTATTAGAGGAGCCTCAAAAATCATTAAATTGCAAATCATCTATTGTGACGTACATCAGAGTGAAACAGATTACAGATAACAGAAATCTGAAACAGATTAAGTTAAAAAATGAAGGATGGAGACTTGGTTCTATCTATCGTTTGTTGATTGGATGAAGGCAGATCTAAATGGCATGGTTTAAGTTAACAAAAATGAATAGAGAAGTCCGGCATATATGTTACCAGGGAGAAGTCTGTTATTTTACTGGAAGATACAAATATGAAATTTTTCAAGGAATAGTGTACACAAAAATGAAAAATTGCTGAAAATTTAGTCACTTTCCAAGGTCATCAAAGATGTAGATGAGTTTGTTCGTTCATCGGAACATGAAATTTAACATTATCACTTGCTCACCAATTGATCCTCTGCAGTGAATGGGTGCTGTCAGAATGAGAGTTCAAACAGCTGATAAAAACATCAGAATAATCCACAAGTAAACAGTACTTGATCTGTGCATAATCTACTCCTGATTCAGATGAGACAACTTTTTCACTGGTCCTGGAGAAAGCAATATTATGGATAGAGGACTCGTATTTTAGCTGGAACCAGTGGTTTGAAATGAAAATCAATAACGTAATTAATGTTTATTACAAACATTCAGCTTTTCCCTTGACAAGGCATTAAGTGATGGATTGAAGCCATACTTTTATCAGCAGTCTGAATTCTTGTTCTGACGGCACCCATTCACTGCAGAGGATCAACTGGTGGTGATCATGTTAATGGATGAATTGTTCACAAAAGCATTTAAATTAGCATTTAAAACATTTTTCAGTTCATGCTAACTTTAATGTAACAGCATGTTACTGCTGTGCTCCATCGACTTTACAGACATTTTATCAGTAGCCTATATCAAAATTCATAGCATGGCCACCCAGTGCAAGAAGACTAATTTAGATGAATGAGAATTTCTGAATATTTCAGAGTGAGTTTAGATTTCATAAAAAGGCCCAAGCATGAGGTATAGTTTGTGCAAGCAGGTTTTGCTTAATTTATAGCTAAAAACTACTGATATATCAGTCAGCTGTGTAAATATAAACGCTCAATCACATTATACAGTCATTAGAGGCTCAAGACTGTTTTTAATTTTATAATTTAAAATGAATCTCTGCTGATTATAACTCTGCTTACAAAAGAGACTCATTATATCAATATTTAAAGTGCAGAGCACAAAAACAGTGAGTCTCTCTGTGTGTGTGTGTGTGTGTGTGTGTGTGTGAGTATTTTAGCAAGAGTTCTAAATCAGGCTCAACACAAGATCTCCTTATCACACGTGAACAGACAATTTGTTCTTTGTTCCATGTTTAGTTGGTCCTCTGACAAATTCACTTCTGAAACCTGAGGAGAAGAGCAGAGATGGAGAGAGAGAGGACCAGAGGGGTCTGTTCTCTACAGAATAGAGAAATGAAACACATCTGGCAACAATACTGCAGTTCCCCTGCAGGACAGGGCACGGGGTGGAAAACGAATCTAATAAAGCTTACAAATAAACTGACTTACCATCCAGCCCACCAAGCCAGCAAACTGTCTGACAATGAATCAAATTATGATCAAATGCAAAGTAGCACATTGATGAAGGTGACATTTGGGACATCCAGTCTAAAACTCATTAACTAGAACAGGGCTGTCCAAACTCGGTCCTGGAGGGCCGGTGTCCTGCAGAGTTTAGCTCCAACCCTAATTAAACACACCCGAACCAGCTAATCAAGCTCTTACTAGGCATAGAAACTTCCAGTCAGGTGTGTTGAAGCTAAACTCTGCAGGACACCGGCCCTCCAGGACCGAGTTTGGACAGCCCTGAACTAGAATAAACCTAGCTGGATGATTCAAATCCATCCAGACTGTAATATTGATTTCTCTCACCTTTCAAGTCCTCTCACCTCTTCACTGTCTCAGTGGACCCTTTTCACAAGACTGTGATGACGCATTTAACGGTCATCAGCATTGTAAATCCTCGAAGGTTTTTCATATTTGTATTTTTTTTTAAATGTATGTACAATTATAACACTATTCTTTGTATTTTATCACCTTTGCATCAAATTACAAAAAAACAGTTAACGCTAATGCGAGGGTGTTTCTAATGTAGCGTCTATGGGCGGAACGGTAAATTTGACATCGTTCTCTCTTCTGACAGCCGGTATAAGTCTCTCTTAATCTTTTTACTTTTATTGAAAGTCATGAAAACACTATCGTGGTGTTTTTCTTTTGCTATTTGAGCAAACGGGAATGCAAAAAATATATTCCCATTCACTGCTATTCAAGTTAACCCAACTATGACGACTTCCGCTGCTGAGAAACCCGGAAATGTGAAAAAGGTCAAAAAGATGGCAGACCAACCGTGACGCTTAAACTACTGCGCTGCTTCCCTCTGCTGACGTAATGCCGAATTGCAAGTGAAATATTAAATTAACTTTTGTTTTGTTCTGTTTCTTATTTTATTACACGAATAAAACCATAGCTGTAACACTGATGACAAATTCTCATAAAAATATTCATTTAAAAAGTGATAGATCATAGATTAATGAAACAACACCAGATTGTAACATTAATGACATATGTAAATTAACCAAATAAAAGTGGAAAAAAATAAAAGCACATTTAAACAGCGGTAAGTACTTTGACATTAACTTGGTTTGACTTAAACATGTATTAAAAATATTTAATACAATATATTTGCTGAAGTATATTTCAAAATATATTTATGTAGCCTAGATGAAGAAATATTTTTGGTCCATTTTTGTTTATTTTTGAAAATATATTAAACCATATTTTTTAATGCATTTAAAATATACATATTTTGACTTTCATATATTTCAATTTAAGAAAATGCATTCACATACAGCCTATATTTAACATTTGCAATGTACATATGTAATACATTACATACATGTAATGTAATATAATGTAATATGAAAATGTAATATAATGTTATATATATATATATATATATATATATATATATATAAAATAAACATTGTTAATTCATTATATAACTATAATATTGGAAATATATTTTCTTGCCACTTTCATTAAGCTTCGCAGTGTACAAAATATATTTGGCATATATTTAAAATATTTTGACCAGAAAAAAAATGGCCGTATAAGTAGTGAATAGTCTTTTAAACCCTCACGCCGTTGAAACAACTCAATTATTTAAGTTAAGTCTGATAAGATGTAAGGCAGAATGGCAATGAACGCTGATTTAATTTTGCGTGTAGGCTGCTGTTCCTTTAAAGGGGTCATATGATGCTTTTTTAAAGATCATTATTTTGTGTATTTGGTGTAACAGAATATGTTGACATGCTTTAATGTTCAAAAAACACATTATTTTTCAAATACTGTACATTATTGTAGGTCCTCTCTGCCCCGCCTCTCTCAAATACTTCGTTTTCTACAAAGTCCCTCCTTCCGACAAGCGCAGTCTGCTCTGATTGGCCAGCTGACCCAGTGCATTGTGATTGTATCACACAGAACTACATCGAATAAAACTGTGCGTTTATTGTATTATGAATTTAAAAAGAGTACATTGGAGAGCAATTGTCCGATAATGGGGAATTAATGTGCTGCTGCTGTGAAGTAGTTCTTTGTTTTTGTCCGCGCGCATAGATCGGACAAGACTCGTGCCGTGACGTCACCGACACTCTTTCCGAGAGTCGGATTAAAGATGGCGCCCTCTCATGCGGTAAGATGCTGTCAACGGGGTTTATCCTGGATACCTGTGATTTTTATCAACCTGGTCGTGTGCTGGTCCTACTACGCTTACGTGGTGGAGCTCTGTATATGTAAGTGTCGACCTAAGTTGTCTTGGCTAAGATGAATGAAGCACAGCAGATAAAAGTTGCTGGTTAGTTGTTGCAGTGGTTTGGGCAGGAAGTGTCAGTAACTGACTGGTACCAGATATGTATCGAAATTCCGCCCAGTTTCTCAGTATAGTGCTCATATTTTTGGATAATTCATGTCGAATGTCATAAATTGTTGATATCAAAACTTGTGTTTTGATAACAATTATTGTATGCAGTGCAGGTTCAAGCTCGAGCGATAGCTAAGCCCAGCTGTTAAACTGATTGAGACGCCTGATAATTAAAGAGCAGATACGAGAAGCGGTCTCACTGAAAAGAACGTAAAAATATTTATTTTCAATAATAGTCTCATTTCAGTCTGAACGCAGATTATACAGCAACGTTTGTCTGTCAGGAAGATATCTGACTAATAAACTTGTTTTTCATTAGTCAGAGGAGTAGTTGTTAACGTCTAGCAGTGTCATTTAGTGTGTTATGCTATACTTTTATGCTATACTGTACTGAAAATGTATAATTATCCTATATGTAGATTATCTCATTACTTGATAAAATGTATTATATGGAATATTTATGATTTTTAAAATTCCATTGTCACAATACATTTTTTTCTTCTGATAATTAACTCAAAAATGAAAATTATTGTATCATTTTTGTATTTCATAGGTGAACTGTCCATTTAAGTGTCCTGCAACAAAGCTAAACGTGATTCTTTTGTATTTTTTTTTAGATATAAAGTGTGAAACATGAATGAGCGTAAACATCTGTGCTGTTGAAGTCTATAACTTGAGCTGTTGTTAACCACTTCACAGTGAGCTCTACACTCACTGCAGTTCCACCCAGTTATTACTTCCTCATCGGTGTCTAAAAATACTAATTTCATTGTGTTTTGAGGTCCATTTATTACCCTAGTAAAGTGCAGTGATATATTATGAATCCTTCCTTATTGATTCCCCATCAACCACAACAATGGTGACCTATGAGAGTTGAAAGGAAAAGTTCAAATTGACTTTTTTTCATTCTATTTCTTATTTTATTTAACAAATGAAACAAGGGTTGTGACATGAGTGACAAACTCTCATAAAAGATTAATTTAAGCAGTAATAAGTCATAGATTAGTACAATCTAACACCAGTGAGACATACATTAACCAAGTTGAAAAAATAAGACTTGATGAAAAAGACTTTATATATGATGCATACATTTAAACATCCTACATATTTTGACTTTGAAAGTACTTTTTAATGATTAAATTAAATATTTAATAATTTATTGAAATATTTAATAAAATAATAATAGTTAAAATAATAGTTAATTAACAAAAGAGATTATTTAACCTTTAAGTTCACAAATGAAGCAAGGGTTGGAACATCAATGACAAACTCTCATAAAATATTATTAGAATAAATATTTAAACACTTATTAAAATGTTTAATAAAATAAAAATGAATGTATAATGAAAACAAATATTTAACTATTAAAAAAAAAAATCTCTTTTAAAAACCAACTCCTACTGTCAGAGATTTCACTGACTGTGCCTTCACGACATGCATCTATCAGTCACTTGAGTCGTCATGACAACCAGGGTATTCCATCCGTGATGGACACAAGGCTCTTTCTGACCAGATGGCAGTACCAGTCGCCCGGCGCTCTGGCCTTACTGGGCTGATCTGGTGGGAACTGGAAGGGTGCTGAGAGAGAATTAGTGGTATCCCAGCACTCAGCAGATGGCTTTGTGAATTGGGCCAGTTGTTCTTGATGGGATTGCTGATAGACCTTTGCTTCTTGTTCTTTCTCTCTGCAGACACAATCGCCAACACAGAGGAGCAAGGTAAGAGGAACTCCAGTGTAACCAAGCACACAATATTGCTTAACAGTTAACAAATCCTTTTCTTAGCTAATCTGGCCTCCTGCTGTTCTCTTAATCACATGTTTTGTCACACCAGAATGAACAAAACATCCCATTTAGATTATGAAGTAACAGCTATTATTGTTATTAAGTAAGTATGAATTATGATTTGTTTTACTAAAATTCCCCTCATGCTGTTTTTCTTGCAGTTATTTATCTGATAGTGTTTCACGTCTTTTTCTTCATGTTCATATGGTCTTACTGGAAGACCATCATTTCCAAGCCTGCCAGCCCCTCTAAAGAGGTACTCTTTCTCTCTATTTGTCTCTCTGTTTTTGTTCCTTTATTTACATATTTAATGTTTAATATAGTCTGAGCCATATTTTATTTTACATAGTCTATTTCTGTTGCTGTTTTCTGAGAATGTGGGCAAGTTGTACAACTTGTCCATGTTGCCATCTGTCTAACCTCTACCAAGTCACAGATGAATTAATAGATACACCATCTTAAATGGCTGATTTTATAGATATTTTAATTATTAGGCACTGTATTATTTGCATGTAGTATTGTTTTTTCCTCTTCGTAACACTATCAGAACAGACATGTTTAGATTCAGTAGTCCTGTGTTGTTATTGTTAACTAAAAATAAAACTAAAACTATTCAAATCAAAATAAAGCTTATTGCTTGGCTCTCAGGTTCTCATTCCACGTGAGCTGTGTGGGAGCAAAATAATTATCATACTGTAATGTGTATGTGGTTGGCTTCAGGCTCTGTAATGTTCCTCACATCTGGAGGAGCAGCAGCAGCTTTAAACTCTGGCTGCTCTGTAGTTTTATTACCACATAATATAATGACAGAGAAGAGGAAGAAAGATGTGAAAAGAAAATAGGCGGTTTGAACTGCCTGTGGGATGTGAGTTGTGGCTTAGTAGTTAGCACACATGCTCAAACAAGTCCGGCTCACAGAATTTCGTCATGTGTCTGTTATCTTGTCAATAAAGATGGCAAAAATTATACTAAAAGTGTCTTTGTTAAAAATTAGAATATCTGGTTGAATTTAGTTGCATATGCAGATTCACATTGGTCTATTCTCATACACATCTCCGTCTAACATCCTGTTGTCTCTCTTAGTTCTGTCTCCCTAAAGCAGACAAAGAGCTGTATGAGAAAGAGGAGAATCCAGAGGCCCAGCAGGAAATCCTGAAGAGAGTGGCCAGAAATTTGCCCGTATATACACGCACAGGATCTGGGGGTAAGCTTAAAAACGTACAGTGGCGTTGAAATCCCCCATTCTTCTTTTTTTCTGCATTTATTTCAGCCCCAACCACTTAATACGTTTGTGTACCTTTTGAAAGTATATTTAAAATGTATAACTTATAACACAAAATGTGTCATTTAAAGTTTGCATCAACTTTTTTTACTCAAACTGTTACGGTGATAACATGTCATATAAAAATTAAAAAGCATTAAATGATAAATATTTTTTTTGTTTTTAATATTTGCATACTGTATTGTGATTAGCTCTCTTTGACTTATACACTACCATTCAACAGTTTGAGGTCAGTAAGATTTTGTTAATATTTCTAAAAGGCTATCATCACGACCACTGCATTTATTTAATTAAAAATAAAGTAAAAACCGTAATATGGTGAAATATTACAATGTAAAACAACTGTTTTCTATTTTAAGTTATTATTATCATAAATATAATTTATGTCTGTAATGCAATGCTGAATTTTCAGCATCATTATTCCAGTCTTCAGTGTCACATGATCCTTCAGAAATCATTCTAATATGCTGATTTGGTGCTCTAGAAGAATTTTCTTTAGTAGTTGGCACTGTTGAAAACAGTTGTGCTGCTTAATAATTTTGTTGAAGCTGTGATAATCTTATTACAGTATTCTTTGATTAATAGAAAGTCCTAAAGAATAGCATTAAAAAAAAAATATATATATATATATATATATATATTATAAACCTTTTTCCTGACCCCAAACATTTGAATAGTTGTGTATCTATCCATGTCTATACTAGTGACACAATGTTCCGTTTTTTTGAATGAGTCCTCTGTCCTCCTCAGCTATCCGGTACTGTGACCACTGTCAGTTGATCAAACCGGACAGATGTCATCACTGCTCCACCTGCGACAGGTGAGTCCACTCAGAAAGCATAGTTGCCTTGCTTGTATTGGATTTGCACTATGTATTTTGATCCTTTTTGTTTTTCCCAGATGCGTCCTGAAAATGGATCACCACTGTCCATGGTACGTACATCTGGGGATGCGTTCAATTTGTAATCTGAAGTTGCCACATAATCTGTTTTAGGTGCTTTAGCTACTATGTATCTTATAACTCTGTTTTTCCAGGGTTAATAACTGTGTTGGATTCTCCAACTATAAGTTCTTTGTGCTGTTCCTGGCGTACTCTATGCTGTACTGCGTCTACATCGCCGCCACAGTTTTGCAGTACTTTATCAAGTTCTGGACAGTAAGTCCACACATTCACACAAATACATCTGATTCCTTTCATTTATCACACTTCTCGCTTCTCACCTTCTGCTATTTCAGAGAGTCAACTTCAGCTTGTCTTTCCATTAATCTGTTCTCCTGTCTGCATGAAAATTAACTGCAGATAGCCTAAAGAATTATGTGAAGGCTAATGTACAGTCAGGTGGTCATTATCACAAAATAAACCTCAGGGAGAGGATTTATTTAGTTTACTATATCCTGCTTATTACACAGCTACACACTAAATAAATAAATATATATATTGATTGAGTTTAAATTATTTTAAGGGGCAAATATAAAGACTGAGTATAAAGATTTCTATTTCAAATAAAACTTTCTATTTATCAAAGAGTCCTAAAAAATAAATAAAATTAAGCAGCACAACTGTCTTTAACATCAGTAATAATGAAAAATGTTTCTTGAGCACAAAATTAGCATATTAGAATGATTTCTGAAGAATAACAAAATATAAAACAGTAAATAGTAATATTTGTACAATTTTGCCATTTTTTTTATTGTACTTTTGATTAAAATTTTTTTGAATAAAATAAGCCGTTTTGTTGATTTGAGACTTCTTTCAAAAACATCATACCAAAACCAGCCTTTTGAATGGCAATGGATGCTGTATTTTTTATTTATATGCACTAATATAACATTATATATTTCCTCCATATATTTTTACTAAAAGATTAATATTCATAAATGCCATGCAATGATCTGAGACACAGAAAGAAAGAAGAAAAAAGGGATGTGTCTGCTTCTAACATTCTGTTTGTGTTTTTAACACTTTGTCTGAAGCTTTGCAGACGGAGGGCTATAGAGCATTGCCCGGAGGTAAACCACTCACGCTTGCTTTGCACTGTTGTGACTGTGGGCGTTGGTTTTGTGTTGCACTGTTGACTCATTTTGCTTAGTATTCTCTTACTGCTTAAAATAAACAGCAATGTTGCAATAAAGAGTGCAGTTTAGCATATTACATATACAGATGCTTTTTAGTGGTACAGCAGTCAGTTCTTACCAGACATGGATGTTAGTGTTGAGGCTGTTAGATCAACAGGTTTTCTTGAGCTCTACAACTACATCTGTTACCAGTAAACAGTTTTGGTAATGTGTGTAATTTTTTTGCCCTATAGTTTGATAGCAGCACTGGCTCAACCAGTGGTGTGTTTGGGATGGGAATTTTTGTAGTTTAATGAAATAATGAAATATACACTGGAATATTTTATGAACCTATCCCAAAACAAAACACTTTTTTGTCAATATCTCACGTTCTGCTTTTCTGCTTTCTAGAATCACCTGCCAGACACTCATGCAAAGTTCCATGTGTTGTTCCTGTTCTTTGTGGCGACCATGTTCTTCATCAGTATTCTGTCACTCTTCAGCTACCACCTGTGGCTCGTGGGAAAAAACAGAACCACTATAGGTAAGATGATGTTAATACTTGCTGCTGCTTTTTCTTATACTTTTTAGTTCATTTCTAACTGTACGAGTGTTGTTGTTGCTTGCTTTTTTTTCATCTCCTCCTTTTCCTTCTCCTTTTTATCATCTTTTTTGGTTGAAATGTTGTTGTTGTTGTCTTGGAGAAGGAAAGGAAGGAGAAGAAAGAAGTAGAAAAATAAGGAGATGGAGGCTTTTATTCCTCTGTCTCCTTTTTCTTTTACTTCTCTTTCTTTTCCTTCCTTTCCTCCTCTTTCTCCTCATGCTTTTAGTTGAAATCATCTCCAACTATTGAAATGTTATTAATATTTGCTCCTCCTTCTCCCTCTCCTTATTCTTCAGCTTATTTTTCTTATAGTTCTTTAAATAATTGTGGTTGGTTGTCTTTTGGTACACTGCGAACACTGCTGTTTCTTTCAGGAAATGAGTAAATATAGTAAATATAATTATTGCTTATTTAGATTCTAATTACTTCCTCGAAGAATTTCAGTCCAGGTAGATATTCCCTTGTTCCTGTCACCGTTTGTTCTTCTAGTCCTCCTATCTCTTTGTTCCATATTTTGACCTATTTTTCATCATCGTTTCTTACTGGCAAGGCACATGTTCAGACAACAAATAAAACTTTGCTGATAGAAGTGAAATGTAAATGAATGTGGGGGTGGATTGTGGGCGTGTTTATGAACAATATTTAGGTCAAACTTCAAGAAGGAAGAAAAACTATTCTGTGCTCTACAATGCAGTTTTGATGCACCTCCCAAAGTTTGTTCTAAAGTTAAGGGTGTCATTTGTGTCGTGTAGAGCAGGAACAGACCGCAATCTAATCTCTCATCCGTCTGTTCAGAGGCGTTCAGGGCACCGGTGTTCAGAAATGGCCCAGATAAAAATGGCTTCACTGTGGGCTTCCGCAAGAATGTCACCCAGGTGTTCGGAGACCAGAAGAAGTGTTGGTGCTTGCCCCTTTACAGCAGGTACAAAACACATCCATCAAGCATCATTTGTAGGGCCCTATGATTTCTACGATGAGGAAAACATGGGCAAAAATGCAGAATCCAGTCATAAAAATGGAATTTACTGTATAACGCAGAATGTCACGGAATTTAATAAATCAAAAGTAGGTCAGAATACCTCAATCAAAACGAGATTTGGACTAGAGTCTGTGAATATTAAGTTGCAAAAATACCATTTAAATATGAATCCCGCATGTTCTACGTGTCTCGTTTACTACACACACTGAAGCGTGCGTAACACTCATGGTGTTTTCAGCCTCTGTCGCCTCAATATATGAGTACATGAACATGATCTCTAGATGCTCTGAGAGTCATGCTTCATGAGCATTTTACCGTTTCTTTTGAGAAAAACTATCGTCATATATACAAACAGAAACCTAAAGGTCTTCACAGCAACCCGTCAAAATAAAAGTTTGTGTGAATGAATTGCGCAGACGTGCGCTTTCGTTTACTACACACACTGAAGCGTGCGTAACACTCATGGTGTTTTCAGCCTCTGTCGCCTCAATATATGAGTACATGAACACATGAACATGATCTCTAGATGCTCTGAGAGTCATGCTTCATGAGCATTTTACCGTTTCTTTTGAGAAAAACTATCGTCATATATACAAACAGAAACCTAAAGGTCTTCACAGCAACCCGTCAAAATAAAAGTTTGGTTTAACTTGAAGAATCTTTGACAGAAATATATTATTTAATGTAATGTTAGTACTACTACTGCTAATAAAATTATTAAAACATTATTCTTTAAGGCAGCGGTTCTCAATTCCAGTCCTCGCGTACCCCCGCTCTGCATGTTTTGCACGTCTCTCTTTGTTAACACACCTGATTCAGATCATTATCTCGTTAGAAGTGAGCTCCGTGCATGAACTGTGTTCCGATTGACATGGTCCCTACACAGTGTCCTTTGCTCCCTACTCCCTGAGCAGGGGAAATCTGTTGAAGTTTACTTCACTTCGGAATATTCATTTACAGATTTGCGCTGCGCCGCTGCCTGCAGCGTCTTCACACACAAACGAAACTTACTAGAGAAGCGTGAAGTGGGACATAATATACCTCTGTAAATAAATACAATTTAAATTCCCGTCTCGCACACTTAAATGCCCTTTGTCTGGAACATATGCGCTCCCTTCAAACTGGAATCATGGAGGGATATCCGGTAATGTCCACTTCGCAGGGCACTTACAGTCAAATATAACAAACGTATGAAGCAATAAGAGAAACACAAAATGTGCAGAGCGGGGGTACGCTCGGACTGGAATTGAGAACCGCTGCTTTAAGGAATATTTACCAGAATAATTTCTGGCAAAAAAAAAGTTAATATTTTTTTAATGAAATCAATTCATTAGAAATGCTTTTGATTATTAAAATTTAATAAAACCATTAAATTGGAATCCAGAAAATTAATGGAAAACACAGAATTTGGTCAAAATATACCTGAATTTGAACATTTATTTTATAGGGCCATACAATTTTTATTTTTATTAACATTTAATACATTGCTGTAAAATTGTGACGACATGAAAACAGAAAACGGAACCCAGAGAAATTAAAACGGAAAAAAATGGAATTTGGAAAAAAATAAAACTGATTTCATAGGGCACTACATTTGGGATTTTACAGTGTTTAAGAGGAAGAGTTTTTCTCTGCATTTCAATTAAAGATTACAAAACGTAAACTTTTTTTTTTTTTTTTTTTGGAATAATGGTACACTAATTAATCATTCACAATTCAGTGCAGGAATGTGTATTAAGACCATTTTAAATTCATGTTAATATTAAATATATAAGCATTCTCATGAGATGTTTTCGGCAGGTTATGGTAACTGTTAACTGTTTTTTTCCCTCTAGTTTGGGTGATGGCTACACATTCCCTACCCGCCTAGTCAACGTTGACTCCGAGCAAGGCAATGTTGAACACCGGGCCATTAAATGGTAATTACAATCTCATTTGTTAACAATACCACTAGTCACTTGAATGACACAGGGCTCCAGATTGCCGGTGCCAGTAATTTTTGAGCGCGGTCGCACTAGCGCGACCACCGCGTTGTTCAACTCGTAAGTGCTGCCATTTCTGTTGCATATGAGAAACTTCAAACTGCAAAAGAAATGAAAGCAAAACTAAATTGCGCTACTCGTTTGAGCTGCGCAGCGCGGACCGTGACGCAAACAAACTTGTCCGAGCTCAGAACAGCTTTACTTGGGAGCCAAAGTTGATTTCGCAACACTGTTACAGCACAGCACTGCGAGATCCAGTGAGAAGCGTTTGAATTCGCCGCAGAATGAATAAAGATTGCTGCGAGATCTAATGAAAAGCATTCAAATTCTGCACAGAAATCTCTGTTATAAACAGATCAAACGACACTGACATAGAAAACTAGAAAACCAGTAACGCTGACTATAACCATGGTGTTGTGGCAGAAATAGTCGAATGTTATCATTACATTAATTTCATTCATTAATGTAATGATGTTCTCTCTCAAAAGGTTTGTACAACCTTTTGAGAGAGAAATTCAATCAGTTTTCAGTTACTTTCAAGCATTTCACACAAATGTTTCGAGCATTTTAAAGCTCCAAAATGATCCAATTTGAATGTTATTTTTAATGGGATGACCAAAATATACTGTGGTGAACAAACACGTGTGTAAAAAAAAATCACCATTATAAACTGTAGATGGCAGCAGAAGAGCACTTATTGGCTTATTAGTAATTAATTTATAGTTTTTCCTTAATATTTTGAAATGATAAAATAACAATTATAAAATCCCTATTATAAAATATCAAATAATCAAGAAATCAGATTTTGTCAGTTTTGCTCTTTTTTTTTTTTTTTTTGTGTGTGTATGAAGTAAGAAAAGCTACAAAGTGCTCATAAATGTGCAAAGTGCTCATAATCACTGAAGTTGTTGGTCAGTTCCATATAAGACTATAGAAGAATAATGGTACATTTAATAAGAGTACATTTATATACCTTTTCTACATAAAAAAAATTGATTTTGCAGGTTACTGTTGTTAATAAAATAAATTTTGTAAGCTTCCCAACTCAAGCTTAGTGCTTTACTGTCAAATGTGTATAAACATGAAATGAACATGTAATATTTTTAGTAACTGCACTTATTAATGCAAAACGATAGTAATTTTATCTCATATATATTTGTCATATCCCTCTAAAATTAAAAGAATACTGCACATTGTAATTTCTATGAGTTAAGTCTATTTATTATCAAAGCATTTGTCAGTAATACAGTTAAAATGGGGAAAATATGTGAATGATTGCATTGCAGGCTGGTTAAGGTGTGCCCCTAAATTTTCTGCTTGTGCTCCTAAAAATGTTTAGTCAGGGCTCAGGGGCAACAGTGCTCTTAGTAAAAATAGTTAGTCTGGAGCCCTGTGACAGTATAATTCTGCAGTTTGTCATGATGACGAATTAAACTACTATAGATCATTTTTCCCCTCAGCTGTTTCAGATCATTTCATTATGTCGAACCTTTTTTAATCCCAGATCTGTTTTCCCAGAAACATAGTCGTTAATAGTATAGTGTAATGTGAGGTGAGGCAAGTGAAAACATCCGTAAACGTTTGTGACTGACACATAATGGTTATGTTAACAGCACTGTTGATGGACAGACAAACCCCAGACCTCTGAGTGAGTCACAGAATCATCTCCTAGGCAACAATATGCACTCTGAGGAGCAGAAAGACAGCAGCCCGGTGAACATCGGTACGTCAACTCTCAGCATTCACACCCCTCATATATGCCCGAGAACACTGTGAATTTGAAGCATCACTAGACTATTAAAAATCCAATGATTTCCCTGAAGCTTTACTGAGACGCACTGTTCCTTAATATTCACTCGCCTGCTTCCTAATGTTGTCAGCTGATTACACTGTAATATGAGGAAATGTATG